ATTTAATTAGTGTGACTTGAGCTAAAGTATTATATAAAGGAGAAAATACGATACAAGTTATTGAGTATCTATTATATATAATATACATAAGATAAGTATAGTGTCCCTTCCCTGATTGATTATATTGAAACTAATTTTTGTACTTACATAAATTTACCATAAAGAATATATATATATGTATATTATACCACAAACTCAATCCACGACTCTGATGGAGGTGATATATGGGATGGAGGTGTACGGTTAGTGTAATTATTAATAATATATATATATATATATATATATTATTAATATATATTATATGTATATATATATATATAATATATATTATATATATAATATATACTATATATATATATATATATATAGATGTATTATATATATAAGTATAATATATATATATTATATATATATATATATATATATATATACGTTGGGTAATGTTTTTCATATATACTGGTAATTATGTAGTGTGTGTTTACTTAAGGAGTATAGTATTGTGTAAGATAATTAGTAACGCGATATGTGGTTAGAATATTAGTAATCGATTATGATAAGGGTTGGTGCCCCCTGTAGTAATTCATTTCTTATTGGAGTAAGTTAAAGAAGGTGGAATAATAGTTATATATATATTATGTTTTGGAGATACTATGGTTTGTGGTATGTATATTGACCTGACTGTTGAGCAACTAATTATCTAGCCAAGATAAGTACATATAATATTACATATATATATATATATATAGATATATATATATATACCTCTCACGCCCTACCATTTATATATATAGTTGGAAATCGTTATATATTATGATACTACGTACTCGCTGTCGCGAATTTGATTCAAATACTCCTATATATTCTAGCTGTCAGTTTCTCTTTTCTTTTTTTCTTACTAGTCGGTGAGAGTGTTTCCTATATTACCCTGTGACTCATCTCTCACTCAACCCGTCCGAATAAATTAGACGAATTTGGTATAGATATGGATTTCACTCGTCGCTCTCGTGACAGATCACAAAGTATATGTCGCGTCTATTCTAGTTGCGGCGCTCGGAACCCCCCGTCTCACGCCGGATAGACTCCATGTGCCCCGATAGCACGGGGTGACGATGTCGGAGCGGAGAGACGTAAATAATGGAAAATTACCCTAATGAACAAATATAAATACACCCACGAGTGAAAAATAACCATGGTTTATTTCCTATTCTTTCATTGAGGTGGGGGGTTGCCGGCGCCCATCCCCGCCAGAAGGATATAAATAAAATACCCAACGCACTCTCAGATACTTCACAGGCACGAGATAGAGCGCACACACGAACTCACATATAGATTTTGCCTTCTTACGTGTACAAAGAAGCGCAAAAAACCGCGAGCCGACGAGGGCGGGTCGAGCCGTGACTCTCGTGTTCATGGTATACAACCATCCCAACTTATCAAACAAAGAAAAAAAAAAAAAAACACCTTGATTCATACCTGAATTAATATACAATCATTATAATAGTATAAAAATGGTTAGAATATGTCAGAGTTGGGAAAATAGACATGAATTCAGTAGGGAATGTTTACACGAAAAGAGTAAACTGATAAATACTGTGTAAAAAGCGTCTTAGCATGACGGGAAATAACGTGGTGGAGGATTTTGTTTCCTCGGCGGGGGTTATAGGAGATGGAAGAGTCTTGTGAAATACATAGTAATAATTATATTCACTAGTGGGTTAAAATAACTTAAGTTAGTGTTAAATATATAAAACCCACAAAAGCATTTTAACACCATGGAACACCTATCCATGAACCCATAAAGACCTGCTATCGGGGCCAAGTTTAGATACCGCTAACGAGGGGGATATTTCACACACAACGAAAGACTAAAAAAACTCATACTATCTCCTCGGACCATACTGTGGTGAGCGTGTGAGGAGGACTATACTCACGACGATACTAAAATGTCGTCACTATCTTGGAAGAGGGCCGAAAGGTATAAATAGAGATCCAAAAATATACCCTAGCTTTCAGCTAAACATCTACCCTGCTCTGTCTCCATCCTCGCTTACCGCCCCCCCCCCCTACAAGAAAAGAAAAATAATAAAGGACATAGAAATAAAAAAGCACTCTACCCCATCCACATACTTAAAACTAACAGACTGGCCCTCCTACAAACCTCCGAATGACCCTCTTTCAGATGGTATTTTATGACAGCGCAAAATGAGATCCTCCCAGCCTTACCTTGCAACCCCTTCTCGTGTGCATAAGCATCTAGATATGTCTTTCCTTCCTCCTCCCTTGCAGCTCGCTCCGCTGACCTGAGTCCCGAGAAGCCGCCAGCGAGATCAGGAATGGCGAGGATGACACGGAGCAGAAGTGGGAGTGCTCGTGAGGAGTGTTGATCCGTATCTTAAGCTACACTTTATGATTCTGTGGGAGAATGAAGGAGAGAAGGAGAGAGATGAAATGCGTATAGTGTAAAAACGATCGGTGTAGGAGCTCCTAGACGAGTATAAGG